CATAGTTGAGGTATACCTATGATGAAAATTACAGGCCTCTCTCATCTTTTTAAGTGGGAGAACTTGCACAATTGGTGGCTGACTAAATACTTTTTTGCCCCACTATATGTCTTTTTTCAGAGCTTTTGCATCTCTTGTTGGGAACAATACCAGCCAACCAACACTCCCCAGCAGCCCAGGTTTCTTGGACCATTTTGCGGTTTCTTCCAGAAAGAGCAGGTGACACAGGAGCAGCTTCCACTTACTGATATCCAACAGGAAAGAGTTTGTCTTCACAGTCAGAAAGATCACTCAGGATGCCGAGACAGTCGATGCTCATCGACCCTGTATGGAAGTAGAAGAAGAGTTGAGCCACAAGAACAGCAGTGGCGGCAAGAGACCACTGGACCTCACGTCACAAAGGGGCTTACCGATCATCACATGGATGTTCTCTGGTTCCAAACCATTCAGGAACTTCCGCCTTAAGCTGATTCCTTCAAAATCCACAAAGACTCTTCTCAACACCTCAAAGCCATTCTCTGGCACCATCTACAAGCAAACCCACAGCAGATGTGAGTCATCTGGACACAGAACAGGTGAGAAGTGAGAAGGGAGGAAAGAGGCTCAGGACTTACCTCCCCTTTGATCAGGTCCTTGTGTCGTGGGCAGTACACCTTCTTATCCTCCAAGAAGACACAATTTTTGGCCCGAGAACACATAAAATGGTAGTTGCTGGTGCAAGTGGCTAGGCAGCAGCCAACTGTGGCACCCGACTTCTGGCAGAACTCACACCGCTGCAAGATTGGCATGTTACTCTGATTGTCAAACTGCATGAATACTGCACAGTTAAAATGAATGTTACATATCTGTTCAATATTACGTCAGAGGATTCCTACTGGTCCATCTTTCTTGCCCTAGCTATAAGCAAGCGTAGCTACTTGTCCAAATTTTTACTAATTAAGCATAACTTTAGGGTTATATCTTTATATTTCACTAATTTAAACATACTAATTTAAGTCTGTTCATTTCACAAGCCAGCTGAGAAAAATCAAGTGTGATTAACGTTGATAGCTGATTTGAAGCAAGCAGAATGGATCAGCGATTAAGAAAGAGATTGCACCTCAGTTCAGCTGGTTGGGGCCTGCCACCTTAATTGCTGAAAGACACCTTTCTATTCCATGGGCTGCTAAGTATCTGCAAAGGGCAGCCCATTCCACCCTCTGCAGACTCCTTTCTTCTGTTATTAGCATTACTGTAATAAAATGACAACATTCAAGTAAAAGATGTTTTTTGACTTTTTCCAGAAATCCTGTCGGAAGAAGACTAGCTTTCTTTTTTCTTTTTTCTATATACCGATCTGTGAACTCCATTACTTAAATTGCAGTACAAACTCTCTTGTTCTTGTAGCAGTCAAGGAGACAAAGAACGAAACAGAATCCTTTGCAGTCACACATCCTACCCACCAGCTGCTTCCCACGAATCACTGCCACGTGCACATTCTTCAAAGAGCCGTCCTCCTCCTCAAACACTTCAGCTGACCACAGAGCACAATTCACATGGGTCCACTCATTCTGGCCAATGTAGAGGAGACGGCCAGCATCCTGTAGAAAAGTAAACAGCCCACCAAAGACACTCAGAACCAAAAGGCGTGGCATTCCATCCTGATCACAGAACTAGGTAGCAGGTGCTGCTGAAGGAAAAGCTGATAAACAGGCAGGTTCAGAAAATCCAAGATAGTCTTGCAGACAAGAAACTCCAGGCTCCTATTATTTATACCTCAATTCAAAGATTTCTAAATCCCCTGTAAGGATCTAAAATTTCCTTAAGTAAGAAAATTCATCCTTGTCTTAATATGAGCAATACATGAATGAAACAAAGACTGAAATAACTGCTGGATAGGGTGGATCCCCAAAGCAGTCCAGTTTCTCTGGCTGAAGACCTCCTGTGACAGAGAATATGTTGCCCACACGTGGAACTGGCGCTACCGTTGACATGCTCTCACTGTGGAAACAGTACTTCTAATGTTGAATCAAAATCTGTCCTTGTTTTGGCTTTAGGGGCAGCAGAAAACAAACTTCTGCTCTCTTTCCTTCCTGGGGCACAACACGTTGCTCCTCTGAGTGTTAGTTTACTCATTTTCTGAAAGCCTGCCTTGTTGGTTTTTCGTGCTCATGACCACCTCATCTGTATTCCCCAATGTCCAAGCCTGTTTCAATTTATGTATATCCTTGGTAAAGATCTGGTTCACATGGTGAGCCTAGCCATGATTTGTTCAACTATGGTTTCTTGAATAAATCACAACTGGCTGAGTTCATGCAGTACACTAAGCCCAAACCAAACACATGATGTCTTAGGAGCCCTGTGAGAATCAGCTAAACTGTGGCTGGAGATAGAACTGGAACTGGATGTAGCTGAGGTCTGAATACCGTAATGCCTTGGAAGATTGCACCTGTCCTTTTTGCTGTCACATCATCATGCCGTTACTGTTCCTTTGGTTTATGGCAAACTGATCAGCCCAACATGACATATGTAACTGCTAAGCCAGGTATTCTCTACCCTCCGTTTATGCATATTAACATTTTATTTCACCATGTGTTTTTCCCTAACCCTTTTGCATCTGTTTCTATTTTTTTTTTTATTTTAAAATAACAAGGAAAACAAAAAAACCCCAAGAATAATTATAATGCAAATACATACGCTAAAAAAAGAAGAAACAACACATAAAGAGTGCTTTAAAAAAAGGTGAGAAAAGAAAAGAAAAACAAAAAATAGTATATCATTACAACTGTTACAATTCTTTCTTTATTTATGTATTTATTAAGCAAATTTATATAGCTGCCCATCTCATCAAAGTGACTCTGGGCAGCGTACAACAATCAGATAAAAGACAGATATAAAAACAATAGAAGAAATATAAAAAACCACATTAATAAATACCGTGAAAAAACATAGGGGAAGGGGAATAAAAATGGCCCTCTCAGCAATGGAGCCATCTAAGCAGGTCTCTGGTTCCCTGGGATCCCAGGCCTGATCACATAGCCAGGTCATAAGTATATATACTTACCTAGTGTAAATATAATTCAAGTACATATATATTTATTTCTCTTTCCATTGTACCAAAGTCTTTGAATTTTGTACTAGACTTCTGAGATATTACCAAACCCTCCCAGGTCTGAGTCATCAGTAAAGAATGGAAGGAATCCTTCAATCACTATTATTTTTCTAGTTCTCTTTTTCCAAATGCTTCTTAAAAAGCAGGAGACTGTGAGTTCTAGGCCTCTCTTAGGCATGAAAGCTGGCTGAGTGACTTTGGGCCAGTCCCTCTCTCTCAGCCCAATCCACCTCACAGGGTTGTTGTTGTGGGGAAAATAGGAGGCAGGTGTATTAGGTATGTTTGCTGCCTTGAGTTGGCCAAATATTTTTTAAAAAGTGGAATAAAAATATAACCACTACCACCACCATCCACCTCACAGGGTTGTTGTTGTGGGGAAAATAGGAGGCAGGTGTATTAGGTATGTTTGCTGCCTTGAGTTGGCCAAATATTTTTTAAAAAGTGGAATAAAAATATAACCACTACCACCACCACCACAATCTCCTTGACAGCAGTATCTGCTAACTGCATTTAGCCAGTCTGCTTACCAAAGTCTCATGGGGGACTTAATCAAATGTTTTTAACTGCCAAATTACATCACTCCAAGTTAGGAAGATGACTCAAGAGATTGGTCTGCCAGGATTAGTTTAACTAGACTGAGCAAGCAGAAGCACCTAAAGAGGACTGAAATCAGAGTTTGGAAGGGAGAAACATGCCAATTGCCAAATTCCTTCCCCAGCTACTTACATTGCCTCCATCATCACCATACTTCAAACAAAGAGCACACTGCCGGTTGTCTTCCACATCTGGAGGAGGAGCAAGTTCTGGGCTGTCATCCTGGCTTCTGTCAGAACCTCAAAGCAAACAGAAAGAATTAATTCCTAACAAAGAATATTAGGAAGAAACACGGAATGAAATGAAGTATGGGAGCAATCAACTGATTTGCAAAGGGCCAGAGCAGTAAGATCTCTTGCTCTTTCCAGCAAAGCAATCCAAGCAATGACACCAGCATCGGAGGGGCACTGTGTTAATTTCATCCGCACCCTGCCAGAAAGTGGACAACTAGGCACCTCTAGCCAGGTTCCTCTCTCTGCCCGAGTTTAACAGAAAAATGCTACCCCAAAGCTTAAAACTCATCTTCCAGGAGAACTTCCTCCAGACAGTGCAAGAGAATAAGGCTCAATTTCTCACTGGATAAGGGTGGGGTAGGAGGATGCAGCGGAGTCGGGGAGTCTGGCTCTCCAGGCCCTTTGGATTTTGGAGCTGGAATTATTTTCTTCATCAGAGGGGGTTGCTGAGCACAACGATTTTCTTCACGTTCCTGCCACTGTGCATAGTTATGGTCAAGGGATGGGGGCAAGACAGCATTAGGCAGCATTCCACTGCTAAAAGACAATAAGAGATATGACCAAAAGTTAGATGCCGCTCCCAAAGCCCTTCAGATTATCCCTGCAGAGCAAGGTGAATTGCCCCATGTCCCTTCTGGGCAATCACAGCACAGAACAGCAGCAGGGAATTCCTGCTTCCTTCCAGATGCTTCTGGGGTCAACTACAGTTGCCGCACAGAGCCAGAGAGACAATCTGGAAATTCCACATGATTTCCAATGGGCAACATTATGGTACCACCTTTGTTCTCAATGTGCAACCAATCAGTTACAGAGAGTAACTTCAGGAAGCAGAGCAATTACTTACTTTGCTGTGACCTTATTTGGTTCCCAAAATCTGGACTTCTTTACACTGAACCACGGAAAAACTCGCTCCATTTGCTAAAGCAGAAAACCACAATTTTTAGTAAGATTCAGTATTACTTTGCCTGGTGTTAAGCATTTAAGAAAACTGTCTCAGAGCTCTGCAGATTTGCCAGCACAATGAATTTATGACAGATTTAAAAACTCTGTCCCTTTGGAGAATTGGAGCTGCTCTGGGAGTAAGGGGAACGCAGCCTTTCCGCGAGGCAATGGTAAAGCACAGCCTACCCTCATGAAGAAGGACTTCACCACACTGTTGGCCTTCTTGAGTTCCGGCTGCCCTCCGTCAGCGTTCATAGCCGCCTGGATTATCTTGACAAGGTCATCGCTGAACTCCAACTGGATGGGAAAGTAAGAGTCACTTCGCTATGGTCTTTAAGGTGCCCCTCACCACCTTCAAGGAGCTGCAGACCCTTATTTCATTTTCATCTGGAAGCTATCTGGCACAGCCATTGCTGTAGCAAAACCTGTAGACCCTTCTTCACTCACAGAACATATGAGGGGAAATAGGGCAGCACAGATCCAACATCCAGGCAACTTCAAGTCATGCAAGAAGTTGCAACAAAAATGTTGCATTTCAGCAGCCATTTCAGTGCAACTCCACAGTCTGTTTTAAGTTTGATTCAATAGTCTCTTCACCCTAGCAGAAGTACAGAAAGTGTGGGTGGCAGGCTGCACTGAGACCTACCACAGAAGGATAGCCTCCTTGGTCCATCTTCCTTTTCACGCCTTCCAGATCAAGTGGTGGCTGTTCTTCCTGCTTGCCAACCTCTGTTAGTACAGGAGGGTCTGGGCCTTCTGGAGAACTTTGAGATGGCACACTTTCTTCTGTTTCAGGATTCAAGTCAGGAGGTTTGGCTGCCTAGAGACGGACAACAAGAGGAGGATAGAACATTTTCTGCAGAATTTCACAAACAGTCTGCTAATGCACTGTATTAATGTAGAAATTGAGGGGAGAGAGGTTACTTTCACACATTAGGAAAATCACTGGCCCTGCCTCTTGGACAACAGAGCTCCTCAATCTACCTTTCCACACAACTGCAGACATTCACACCTAGTATACTAATGTTTAACACATTTTCAAACCTACAGCCTTTTCAAGAGATTCACACAGGTACCATTGGGAAACATGGACTATGTTGAAAGCTTGTAAAATTCGGGGTGATGCACAAAGATAAAAAATGAGATGAAAAGGAAGTGTGTCTTTGCACCATGCCTATGAAGCCATGGAATTAACTGCAATGGTGCACATGCAGCCACTGCATTCAGCTATTTTGGAATGGAAAAACTGGGGACTCCCCCCCCCCAACCTGACTTAGGACTAGTGATGCACGGCTAATTCTGCTTTTTCTCCTAGAAATTCTATGTTTCCAATAACCAAAATCTCACAGATAGATAGATGGATAGATAAAGATAGACAGATAGTTAGTTGTGAAAAGAAAAAAAGATAGAGGTACCTGTCGATAACGTAGTAAGTGGCTAGTTGTCCTAGAATTCAATAGGGCGGTCAAAACTTGCTTTAAAGAAAGCTGCAGCTCTTTCTCGAGTGCCAGCCGCCATTCAGGAGGATGTTGTTCAGTGCAATTAATGCAGGTATAAGCCACGCTCTCTGGAAGGTTAGAGAGGATTTCATACATCTCATCTGAAGGAAGAAATGACAATGGTTATGGGTGCCAGATTTCAGAAGGATGCACTTGCCCAGTGGCAGAACAGAGGAATATGAGAATAATGGCTTAACTCAGTGCCCATGTATATTCTGATGTCTCAGGACCTGGAGAATGTAGTGCCTACCAAGCATGAGAGGAATATGCCCTGCTAGACATCTTGAGTGGGTACATACATAGTCTGCTAGCTTAAGTAGACTAACGCCTCCCCAAAACCATCTCACATTTCTGCTCACCCTCCAAGATTCAAGGCAACAACTATATCCTGTAAAACAGGGTTCAATCCACAGCTCAACACAATTACAATTCTGCTCATGAGCATGGGAAGAATTTCTGGATACCAACCTTTATTGCGGAGTTTCCCCACCTTTTCTTAAACCATAGTGACCTGCAAAGGTAATCTAAGGGTGAAGTCTGTTGACTGTAAATGCTCCTCCTCACCAGAGAGGTTTTCACACTTGGAGTGAACCCAGTGGTCACATTTCCCACACTGCATCATCTTGCTTTCATAGTCATCATCATCATAGCACTTGTCACAGAGGGGGCAGAAGTTCCCTGCAAGCAGGACAAAATCATGAGGTAGGCCCACACAGTCAGGGCTAAACAGCAGTCTGGGGATGCCTCATAAAGCGAGAATGGCTGCTGGTAAGTTCTGTCCCTGACTGACAGGGGAAAACCCTCTTTGCTAGTTCAGTTCAGTGACTGAGTTTGTACACTCTGGTTTGTAAAATATGCTTATTCTGGTTTATTTAACAAACCACAGTTAAAACGACACATGTCTCAGTGTGATCTTTGAATCAAGCAGCATGTAGTTCTACACAGGAAACTGTTCGCCGTCCCCCTTCTGGGGGCAATATTGAAAAGCAAGGATTTCCCTTCCTGTGGAATGGCTGCCAGCTCTCCCAGGCCCTTGGTCCCCAACAGCGTTCTGTAGTCTCAGCCTTTTCGCACCTTTAGCGAAGAGTTTGGCACAATCGTGGCACAAAGAGAAGTCGTGGGACCACTGTGCGTCCCACCCTTTGCCTGGAGTTGTTGCCCCACAGCTCTTGCAGCGAACGCATTTGGTGCAAATCTAGAAAGAGAGACGAGAAGCTTTGCTTTTTTCAAGGACCACCCACTCTCTGAGAAGTGTCAATATATCTCTGTTGAAACTGGACCAGAAGTAACCAACAAGAAATCCGTACCTGCACATGCCTACTTGCCCAGGAATTTGTACAGTAACACCCACTCTTTTTCCCTTTTCTTCCTTTTTGTTAAAATGACCTTTGGTTACAGGCAATGGAGTCTGCCTTAAAAACACCCATATTCCTAAGACGAACTTACCCAAACTTTCTTCTTCTTGGTAGGTTTAGTTGGGTAGTTAGGTCCCAGGCACTCTGGGTGATAGCTGTTCCGGCACTTGTTACACTCCAGCAATTGCTACAGAATTGTAGAAAACAGCAGTCATGTTAAACAGAGCCTGGGTACACTGTTTTGGGCCTCTAGAGATCTGTCCAGATCAATGTGGTCAACCGGCTGCCTTCCAAGCAGCCATTCATTCTAACACAGGTTCATAATGTCTGAGCTCCAGTCCACATTTCAGAGAAGAAACTGAAGCTAGTTACCTTGGAGGCCTGGTGCTGTCTCCCACACACATGGCAGAACTTGCAGCGACGGCAGCACCAGTTTTCCAACTGGTCTTCCAGTGGGCGTTCATTGACCTCTAAACAGAATTTGTGGAAAGGCTCACAGCAGACCTGGCAATACACAAACTACAAGCAAACAAACCAAGTCAGCCAATCAGGTATGTCTACTGCACCTATCTCTCTCTCATTAGCTTGGCTCTGATGGATTTGATAAGAATTTGGTTCTTAACTCAAGCTGCCTTGAATATCTAACTGAATTGAAAGGCAGAATACAAACTGAAGGAATGAAGGAATGACTGCATAACATCCCCACCTATTAACACTCAAAGTAATACAAAATTAGGTCCATAAACAAAATCATCCAGAGAGAGCCAGTTTGTCTAGTGGTGAAGGCACTAGGCTAGAAACCGGGAGACTGTGAGTTCTAGTCCTGTCTTAGGTGTGAAAGCCAGCTGTGTGACTTTGGGCCAGTCTCTCTCTCTCAGCCCATGATGTCAGGCTCGGGCAACAAGCCGGTCAGTAAATTCTTGTCGCAACTAATGAAACAACATTTGGTTGATCCGAAAAAAGTGGACCCCGCACCTGAGGGAAAAGTGCTAGGAAGAAAAACAAAATCATCCAAAGATGCTTTTAGACCACCTCCCAACTTCAATTATTTGTCTATGAACAATTTTGCATCTGCAGCAACTCCCGACTCTGCAACAGCAAAAAGTAATTATCAGGCTTAGGAAGAGCCAACAGAAGCCAGACCAGCTTGTGGTTTCAGAGGCAAATAAAAACCTTTTAAAACAACTGATGATTCTGCAAAAATAATGGATTGTTTTGATTAAGGATTCAATTCCATGTACACGTTTCAAATTTACTTTAACTTAACGCAACTGAAAAAAAGTCACACCTGGACACTCTGATTCCTTACCTCCACATTTCCGCTGCTGGCACACAGGAAGCAGACTACTCTGGGAGTTATAGGAATGGAGGTTAGGATACCTAAACCACCCATTTCCCAAACACTTTCAGCTTCACAGTCCTCCTAGAAAGCACAAAAGCAAGAACCTGAGAAAGGGATATCTGTGCAAGGCCAACTACTGTGCCGATACCAGGAACTGGGACTATCAAAATGCAGCTGCTTCATTTCTGCAATGCCGTAGTTACCTGCTAAAGCATATGCTGTTTTCTTCACTCTGGTTTTTGCACCAGCAATCATTAAATCCCCAGAAAGCCCCTTTGTGGAACGGCTAGGGTTCCACTGGTAATTATCCACCATTCTGCCGTTCACTGCTTGCTCCAAGGAAGCAACTTTCAGCAGAACAATATTGTGGAAAGAGAGGGAACTGACACTGCCAGTTCCAAAAGCCGTAATCCCAACAGAGAAAGCAACGCCCAAAGCCCTCTTGTTACCTTGAAGTCCACCCGGATCCTGTGAACCCCGTCTGTCAGGGGCTTCTGCTTGGAAGGGTTATTGCTTGAGAAAGTGCTCAATGTATTGAGTGTGCTATTCTCTGGCTTGCTGACTGGCAGCGGCTTCTCCTAGAAAGTTGGGAGACAAAATATTTCATTTCTTATTCCCCAAACATTCCTCAGAATATATTAATTGAACACACAGGCACCTTTGCCTATCCTGCATTCAATGGCCAACCTCAAGGAGCACAGCTAAATTACTGCTGAGTTCTCACCACCATCAGACAAGAAGCAATGTGGAAGAAATATTATATTGATATTATGCACCTTAAAAGGCAAGAAATGCTAGCATTTTGTATGTGTATGCGCACACAACCCTTTCTGGGGACCAAAATTTTTTACTTGGCCTTTGGATGGTGTGCTGGGTCTGGGTCCTCAGAAGGGGGTGAGGCCAACATAGGGTCTCAAGTATAAAGACACAATCAAAGAACACTTTTTTCTCTTGAAACAAGATGAAACATTAGGTTACCTTTTCTTTTGGTTTCTGTTTCACCGGTAAGCTTGGACGAGGAATGATTTTCTTCTGTCTGTTTTGCTCAATAGCTAGAAAAAGTGCAAATATACTTTGTAATAACCTAAGATTTGTCTCCAGAAGCGAAGAGGCATTTGGGACCTTGTTAGAGCAGAAAACAAGATGCTATCCACTTTTTGCTTCACCATACCGCTCTAGAAACAAACCTCATTTTTCTCCCTTAGGATAATAAAGTTATACCCCAGCCCAGTTCCTAGTCCCCAAGGAGATCTGCTTCTTCTGCTCTAGGTGCAGGCCTAGGTTAAGCTGAAAGATAGAAGCAAGAGGAATGCTTCATCCTGGTATTTCCACAGCACTGCATGCTTTGCTAAAGAAATGGGGCATGCATATGACAAACTAGCCCATATGAGTCAGAGCGAGAAAAAGAACAAATGATTGCAAGAGAGAAGGCAAGTCCCATTTATTATGGAGGGAATATTTGCTGCTTCCTCATGTGGCCATCTACGTGTGCCCAAGAAAGCACCATAAGCTGCTCCCATTTGTGTGAAATCTGTGAGGTGGGGCATTTCTTCCCTGCTGGAGCCAGTAATACAACAAAGAGAGAGGTCAAACTGTTCTCTCCAAAAAGCAGGTACGTTGGTCTTGGAGAGGCCACCAGCTGTCCCCAGTGCATGTTAACACATACCTGCTTCTAGTGGTGGTGCTAGTTTTTTCTTGGGCTCAGCAAGGATGGTTTTGGGGGCTTCCTTTTTGGGTGGGCCCGAGCTAGGCAGCTGGATAGGGGGCATGGGAGGCGGTGCTTGTTTGCCAGTTTTCCGGGTGGCAGAGGGAAGAGCCTGTCTGGGGTCTGGGATAGGTGGCTGCAGCGGCCCTTCCTCTATCTTTTCTTCACTGGCCTTCCGGGCAGGTTCGCTGCTCCTCTTCGAGGCATGATCCTCTTTCCCCAAAGCGAGTGGAGGAGCTGCTGTTTTTTGTCCTGGCTCCCCCTGATTCTTCCCAACATGGCTCTCTTTCTTTTCACTGGACTTGGATTTCTTCTCCTTTTTTTTCACAGCTGCATAGCAGAAAAGGACTTTCGATGCAATTGCCACCTACATATGGACCTGTTCCCCTTAAAGAACCAGCACCCCAACCTTCTTGCTCTCCCCCTCAAAAGGGTTTCCTACCTTTGGCTTGTTTCTGGAGATAAGCTTTCGATGGCATCCATTGCAAATTCTGACACTTCCTCATCCTTTGGAAAGAGAAAACAAAGAGATGGAAAGACACATTACTAAGCGCTCCACATGAGGATTTCTCTTCTGCTAGCCCTTGTCACTTCTAACTCACAGACTTTCTGGGGGAGGCATCCTGTGAAAAAAACATGCCCTGGAGCTGAGCACCAGAGACTTTCAACCCCTCAAAGCTCCCAGGTAAGTCTGGGTACCTGAACTGATCAGCCCCAACAGGACATCCTTGGCAATGTCACCCTTTCAGCTGCATTAAAAAGAATCAAAGCTTGAGGTTTTGTCCAAAGTAGAGAAGAGGAAGCATAAGTATTCCCTTCTTTGTTTGAGCTCTGACTGGCCGGGCAGCCCAAGTATGAGTGATGGAGAGACAGACTATTCAGAGAAAGATTCACACAGGGGAGCTGCTCTCGCATTTCACTTAGCTTTCATGGGGAAAAACCAACACCAAAATGGCAAAAGGAGGCAGTTGCATCAAGTGTGTCTCTACTACCACTGCCTGAGAAAGAAGCTATTACAACCCAGCTGCCACTTTGATGAGAAAGGCAGAAATCAAGCTCAAAACACGGGAAAGTCTGGGAACCTTGGCATCTCCTCAGTGAGAGTGACATAAATGTTTTGGGGTACTCCGCTGTCCCCAGGAAGAGAAGGCCCTAAGAGGCCAATCCACACACTTACTTGCAGCACTGCTTTTTTATGTTCCGCCCACCAAACTTTGGCTTATCCAGACAGTTTGTGCAGACGCCACAATCCTCTGGGACTTGGCAGCCTGGACACTGCCCACAGCGTCTCGATCGTCGGCCTTTCTTCACAGGAGGCTCCTGAGGGGCTTTGTTTCTGGTTACTGGTTTGATAGGCTTGATGGGAGGTGCAAGGGGCTCAGCGTCTTCTGATCCAGCAACAGAGGATTTGTCTGTCAAAGAGAATACCAGCTATTAATTCAGCAGCCAACCATGGAGATGGAAGTGAAGATTGCTCTGCTTGCATTTTTTTCTAAAGGAGCACCATGATAGCGCTTATCCAGATTTTTTTTTGAAGAACTACTCTTCCATTCTGCAGTCTCCCTTATGTTAACTTCTAATGTCCCTTGATATAAAGAAAGCAATGCTGCCTTTCTGCCCAAATCAAAATATTTACCATCATTCCCCATGGAAGACAGTATCTTCTCCCGTTCTTCCCATGGTAAGGCACTCAGAGTGGGCATGTCATCTGGGAAGACTGCTCGCTTGCGGCCTAGTGCTACAGCTGCCCTCCTGCAGACATGCTTTATGCGTGGACCTCGCACAGAGGTTTCTGAGGAATCACTCTCTTGACCCTAGATTCCAGCAGAGAAACAGATGGAAATGGTTGGCACAAACGATCATTCTGCTATGAGCAACTCAAACCCAATACAGAAGCATGGCTGGCAGGCTTCTTAGCCTTCTCCAAAATTGTATTTCCAAGCAGGTCCCCTTCCACAGGATAGCAGAGCAGAAATGTTTTGCCTAAAGCCAACCACTTGCAATTCTGCAGTTATATACATAAAATGCATCAAGGGGCTCAGTGTGTATAAGCTCATACTAAGCATATACTAGAAATAACACATAGCATCATCTACATATTGCAAGATGTTTAGTAGCTGTGTTGTAAGTAACATCCCAAGACTGCTGGGATGGGCAGGGGGGAAAGAGAAAGTATGAAAAAGATTTAAATTTTTAAAAAAGAACCTCTCTGCAGTAATTCAGAACTCATCTCTTTCCCTGAGAAGTAAGGTCTAGCGCTGCAAAATGCTTTGAATTCAATTCCAAAAAGATGTTCTGAGATGCACTGTGGTATGAAAGAAGCACCCATCCACAAGTATTACAGAGGCAGTTACGAGGGCAGCCACAAGATTCCTGGAAAGATGCAGCTGCTACGTTCCCATTCTTGTGCATGCCAAAGGTCCTTGCAAAGCCCTAGCAAGATCCCATAGGAAGGCAAGACACGGGAAGCTCTGAGCAAGCAGCTCAAGGCATACCAGTGTTCAAGAGCAGTAGCAGCGCAACACTGAGCACTTCCCAATTCACAGCTTCCCCGGCTTGCTCAGTGAAGCCCAGGGACTAGTCGCATTGGCACCTTTTCACGATGCTCATGCCAACCATTGTGGCTTCGCTCATTCTGTCTGGGGAGCACAGCCTCTTCCTGCCTTACCCACTATTGTCCCTACGCTACCTCCCTTCCGAAGCCACTGTTTTCGGAAGATACCTGTCCTTTGGGCTGGTCCGCCTGTTTAAGAGATTTGCTCTTCTCAATCTTATATAGCTGGGCTTTGGCTTTCTTCAGGAGGCTGGCCACCCTCTTGTCAGTCATTGGAAGTTTGTCAGCATGAGCCAATACTGAGCTGATGGAGGAATGTTTCACGATGCCAGCTGATGCAGCGGGAAGGCGCAAAGTCTCTTCCTTTTCTGCAGAAGAGGCTGCCAGACCAAGTTCCAGATTTGATTTGTCCAGACCCCCTCGGCTTTTCTTGGGTAGCTTGGTCTTGATGATGGCTGAGTCCACAAGAACTACAGCAGGGACATCTGCTGCTGGATCAGCAGCAGTTAGTTTCTTCCGTCCTGCAGGTTTTTTGGCAAAAGACGAGGTTGCTACATCTTCACTGACAACAACCTTTCCTTTAGAACCTCGAGTTGATGGAAATAAAGCAGAGCTGCTCTGAATTTCTGAAGTCTTCTTCTTCTTTTCTTTCCTGGGGTCACGTTTGTTTTCCTTCTCCCTGTCTCGATCTCTTTCTCTGTTCTTCTCCTTCTCAGGACTAGCGTCCCTTTCTTTGTCTTTGGATAGCTCCTCAGTGGCTTTGTCTCTGCTCCTGGTCCTCTCTGTCTGGGGACTTGGCGTGAACCAAGGAAAAAGGGGAGCAGTGCCACCGGATGAAAATGGCTCGGCAGGAGGGTTTGCCTGCTTCCTTGGCCTCTGACTTTTCTCTGCTGATTCCCCAGATTGGGACAGAGAATGAGAAGGAAAAGTGAAAGTGGAGTTTAAGGCACTAGTGGTAACGGAGCCCACAGAAATGCTTGCTAGGGAAGAAGAGGCTGACGATGATGGAGGGAGCGTGGAAAGGTCAGAAGTGCTGAGTCTTCCGCTTCTTGTCCTCATGGAGTGTGAAGGAGATCTTGGTTCAGATCGAATTGGGCTGAACACTCGCCTCTTTCGTTTTCTTGAGGAAGCTGCTGTTGCAGCGCCTCCTGCAGCACTTCGATTAATCGAAGAAGGCAATGTTACAGACTCAAAGATGCGTGAGTGCGCCTCACTGGGAGTGAACCTTGGAGCTCGCAGCAGGGGACTTCTCTTCTGTAGATCAAATCTTGTTCCAGAATGAAGAGGAGAAAATAAGCGGGCAGGAGCTGTGGCCCCAGGAGAGGTAAAGCCAGCAGCAGCAAAGCCGACATCCTCGGGGGTCAGGGGTGGCGGCCTGAAGTTATCAAAAATCGGCTTGCGGATAAGACCTTCTTTGGCATACTTGGCAGAGGAGAAGTACTGGGGTTCAGATCTAGAGGGCTTCAGAGAAGTCCAACGAAATGTTGGTTCTCGGAGGATTGACTTCCGCTTCTCTTGCACGGGGGCAGCAGCAGAAGAAGGTAAGAAGGGTGATGCCAAAGGAATGGTGGGAGGCATGAGCCAGGGTGCATGGTCAGAGATGCTGGCTGCTGGCTGCAGAGGGGGAGGGGGGGTGAGGAGTGGGGGAGGAGGTGAAGAAGATGATTGCTGTTGGGACACACTTTGGAGACTGGGCAGCTTTTTAGCTGCTTTGGGCGCAAAATTCTTCTCTGCCATTGAAAACCTCCTCCTCCTCCTCCTCTCGCCACCCTCATTATCAGGGGAAGTGGACACTGGCAAAGAAGCATGAACTTCTGAAGTGTTGTTGCATTCTTCTGACAAGCCTTGCATCTCTTCAGAGGCCTGAGAATCTGTGGATGTATCAACACTTGGACTGCTGGACCGTGAGGAATCTGAAGATATTTGGGATGAGTGCTGAGATGCGACACTAGACTTCTCGCTTGACTCACAAGAGGTAGCACTGAAGCGGCTGTTTGGGGTGGACTCTAAGCGTGCTATTTTAATTGGTGGATCATAGTCTTCATCTTCAATGAAACGCTTGGGAGTCTTAATAATCCGTGAAGAGATGGCGCTCACCACGGGCATAATGAATTGCCGAATATTTTTGAGCTGAGTCCTTCCCTTCCGGCCCTGAAGCTTTGCTGCTTCTTTCTCCATTTTCTTCTGAGCTCCCTTTTTAGCCTTCTGTAAGAGTTGCTTGGCAATTGTGGCATCTGTCCTCTTGCAGGAAGGAATAATCCTTACTGGTCTGCGAGGGCTCTGTCTGACTGTTGGCTTTTCATCTTTGGGGAGTGATGGTATACCCTCTCTCTCCTTTCGCACCCTCTGGACTTTTTCTAACTGGGAACTTACAAGAGCTGGCATGGTCTTCAAGCGATCAGAAGAAGGCGGCCTCCCTCTCCTGCGTACAATTTGAACCCCTTTCCTCCCAATCTGGAGCTTCCCGGACTTGAACTGAGACTTCAGCGGAGAGAGTTTGCCTGCTCTTAATTTCTTAATTTTTGCAGCATGCTGAAAGGTAGCCGACGGTGCCCGCTTTATTTTCTTTACATTCTCTTTTTCTTCCTTCCCTCCTTTCTGAGCATCTGGAATGCCCTCTTTATGGCTGATCTTGAATTTCACACTGGTAAGCGCAGGAGGTCTCCCTCGACGCTTTTCTCCACTTTTAAATTCTTTCCTCTTTATTTTTTCCATGGATGTAGGTTCTGGCTTGCTTGAAGGTGAATATATTGGCAAGGGCTCTGATAGTGCAGCTGGACTTCGGTCTGAACCGTTCCGAGGTCTCCCACGAGGTTTGCGTGCACTAGCTTTGACTGAGATTGCAGAAAAAGAACAGAAATGGGTACATTAAACAAGGAAATCCTTGTTTGCAGGCATAACACAAAATGAAAAAAGGAATGAGGTAAGAAAATGAAAACAAGAAAGTTCTAACATTACATAGTTTTAAGAGTAACAGATCAATGTCTGAATTCTACACAAATAGACTTAGTATGCGTATTTAGTCTATTAAGATTATAATGCTAGAAGAACTGATTCAATCAGTTTGCCTGGACATAAATTAAATCACAAATCTACAATGGCTGGACCTGGAAGAAGAGAAGCCACTCTGGACCTTTCCCTGTTGGGTTACAATCTAGCCCTATCAGCTCAGCAGCAAGGGGAGCTGGAATTAATAGTTCCAGCTATTTTCACTAGCCATACATCAAGATACTACGAGTAATCCAGAAACCACATTTCTGAATTTAAATTTAATGTTTTTTCCACGGGGACTTTCAAAGCAGAGTTCATTCACATGAGCATTAGAGGGCATTTCCACAGATCCCTTGAAAAATACATAATGACTAGGACAGAATCAACGGGAAGGAGGTAGTATATGGTGGGAACACCCAGAAGGGTCAGTTAACTTCCAATGGATTAAATTTAGCTTATACCATTCAGTCCATCATGTCAACAGAAGGTCTTATACACTATAACCCCAGTTAATGAAGCTTAACCTAATATTCAGGAAAAAAGCTGGGCAAAGCCACTAAAATGTCTCCTGTTATGCCAATACCTGGCAGCAGAGAACTCATTTCCTGAAACAAACTGACTGTAGTAGCCAAGACATACCTTACACTGTCGGTGATGTAATGAAGCCTTGCTAATATTCTCCTGGTGCAAAAACTCATGAGACATAAGACATTTTTGAGAAATGGTGTGGGGAGTCTGTATTCCCCAAAACAGTGGTTTTTTACTCAATTAATGTGATTACATGCTGCTGTAAGAATTGGATTGGACCATTAATGACTTAAGTGTATTGTGGAAACAGGGAATTGTGTTCTGTAAGGCATGGTCTACAGGTTACCATACTGTGCCGCCCTGTTGAATTTTCTTGCATGTTGGGAAGTTTTGATCTGGGAAGTAATGTGGCTTTTATGTGTTTTTAATATATTATTGGACTTATTGTATGCCACCAGTCTTCTTGGAGTTGGGTGGCCTCAACAGAAAGAAAGAAAGAAAGAAAGAAAGAAAGAAAGAAAGAAAGAAAGAAAGAAAGAAAGAAAGAAAGAAAGAAAGAAAGAAAGAAAGAAAGAAAGAAAGAAAGAAAGAAAGAAAGAAAGAAAGAAAGAAAGAAAGAAAGAAAGAAAGAAAGAAAGAAAGAAAGAAAGAAAGAAAGAAAGAAAGAAAGAAAGAAAGAAAGAAAGAAAGAAAGAAAGAAAGAAAGGCAAATCTAGCCACTGTGGCTCTATTTAGCAAATCATAATTGAAAAAAGCTATGGCTTAATGTACTATATGAAGCCAGCAAAGGCATATTTCGGGTTGTAGCACTCAATAATACATTCCTTAGACCAGCCACATCTAAATTCCATTAAAGCAAATTCCACTGAATATGGTTCAGGTTGCAGTAGACTGAATTTACCTGTGGGGGACTTGGGGGAATTGGTTCCTTTGGCCTCATCATCTGAGCCAAAACCTAGAAATTGCTCATCCTGCAAAAAAGGCGAGAGATGGTTTAAGTAAAAGCTATAATGAAAATGAAATACAGTTGAGAAAGATCAACAGCACTGCCAATTGCCCATTCTCAAATAAGTAGAGGTTGAAATTCATTAGCAACACATTTGACGTGGCATCTGCTGGATCAGCATACCAGGAATCACAGGCTACCAACGGAAATGTATCTCATAAAGCCCAAAGGAAGTCTGGGACATGCCTTGAACTATGGAGTTCCTCTGACTGCCCACAAAAAACCAAGAAAGCCCCATCTTAAGACTCTTCTCCAGAAAAAAACAATTTTACAGAAGGTTACAAAGGAAAGCCACCTCTTTTAAGAGCCACTTCTTCAATAAATGCTGTTTTAGAACATATAAACAGAAGGGTGTCTTCACAGCAATCACTTGTGACATCCATCTACAAACAGGTCTAGTAATTTCACAGCAGAGGGCATAGAAGCCTCTCAATGGGTATGAGCCCAGATGGCAAAATGGAACCTCCATGTTAAGGGGAAGCAATCTGGGTCAGAGTAGAAGCAACAGCACGAGCCAATGCCATTGCCTTATGCTGTACACTGGGCTACTGCATGGCTAGTATTTCAGCTCAGTTGGAAGCTGAAAAGTCACCAACTATCTGCTCCCTTGCTAGTGCTGGTTCTGTCATTGTGGCAAACTCTGAGCCATGTTTTCAAGCTTTCTAGAACTAAAAAGGCTAGAACTGGCCTAGGATCTCTCTGAAGCTGAGGCTGCTACATGTGACAGGCATATGCAAGAACCTTTAGCAAAATGCTTAAGACTGCTAGACACTGTTGCCCCCCCACCCCGTTTTGCTCCTGCTGTGTCAGGAACCATAGGCTCTGCTTCCTACATTCCACACTTAATCTTCCACAAGACTCTCTTGTCCTCTTTTAACGAATACCAATCATGAACTTCCAAGAGCACCTCTCCAACTTACTCAGAGAGAGATTAGTGTGCTCGATGGCACATTTGGAACATTCATTCTGAGAAGAGAGAGCTCAGGAAAAGAGCCATGTGCTGGAAACGTTGCTTGATAGAAAAGCTGCCTTTCCATGCCTTTCTTTGATTACCTGTGCCCTCACTGAAGAGGAAACAGAGATGGCTTGATTTGGGGCATTAAATTGCAAGATCTCCGATCGGTATTACATAGTTTATGTTTGCGTGTGAGGGAGAGAAAGCGAGAGCAAGGTATGTGTAAAACCTCCTCTAGAAAAATGGCAAACATGCCTTCTCTGAAGCAGTGCTCTGCCTCTGGCAAAAAGGAAGCTTGGTGACTGGCTTTATGGTCCAAGTTCAGCTCAGCTCAGCTGCCTATGGAAGGCTGGGAGGCTCCAGTTTTGCACACAGCCCTACAGAGAGCAGCTCTGCCAGCCCCTCCCCTTAGACACGTGGGGCTCCCTGCAAGAAGTAAACAATGTTTGGCTGAGGACAGGCAGAGACTCTAGAAAGCTGGCAGAAAGGGCAGCGGCTTCACATCAGCAGGGGCTGCTCTATCAAGCACACAGGTTCTAAGCAGGGAAGGATCTACAGACAAGCAAGCAGAGCGGTTTAGTTGTGCTACCAAATCTTCATCTCTCCAAAGCCCATTTTTCTCTTTCCAGGAAGCCAAGTTTATCAGCCTAAGAAATTCTGAAAAAAACTTCAGTTCTAACTAATCACAGACAAGAAAAAAGGGTTTTTCAAGATCAAAGGCTGCAAGTCCTCTAGCACTCAACAGCTCTTTGAGTTATGGCTCTGCATACTCCTTCCTTTTGTGTGGCCCAGATGAATGAAGGATGGAAGCCACACAGCCTAAGAGTCCCAATGCCTCAGCAATTCAGCTTCTGAATTAGCCCTCCAAGTTCCCATTCATTCCAGTTTTCCTCTTTCCCTTCCAGCCCAACAGTCAACAATCTCAGAGCACCATTTCATTCAGAATTTACTGCATCATGACATAATCACCAAGGATGTCAAGCACAGCGGATACTCAAGAGCACACTAATAGCAAAGTCTGCTCCTTGGCAGCTTGCTCAGTCACCCCCAACAGCTGGATATAAGAGTTATCTGCGTTTGCTTTGCTCACTCTTTTCCCAGACTCTTCCACTGGCACTATCCCACACCCTGGGTGGTGCATCCCCATACTGCTACCCTGTGGGTTCTGCCCTATGTCATCAGATGAGAGTGACTCCAAGGGGGCATCGAGTATTGTTTGGAAGCCATGATTAACCAGGGAATTAAAGGCCCCTCCTTTGGAAAGCCCTAAATTCAGGTGTGACTTATGAAAAACAGGGCTTGTGTCATAATTTAGAGCATTTTTAAAATGTCCATTGAAACTAGTCGTGGACTTGGCTGGCCCCCTGGTGCTCTCTCTCTCTCTCTCACATACATATCACAGCCAGAGAGAAGAAACATTCAAGTGGAGTGGAATGGAGAAAAATAATGTCAAAAATAGAAAAGCCCCCCACTTACATTTGCTCACACAAATTAGATCTAGCTGAGCCAATTGGAGAAACTGCCTTCTTCATTTTAATATTCGATTTATTTTCAAAGGCCAAAATGCTCATTTGTACAAGTGACTTTTCTAGTCAGGTATAATATATTTTATTCCATAATTGCAACATATGGTTTTGATGCCTAAAGACTTACAACCATGTAGTAGCTTGGCTGATCTAGAAAAGTTAAACAGGATTGGATATGGCTAGTCTTTGGATGGAAAACCACCTGGAAATACCAGAGTTGCAGGCCATATTGGAAGTTGAAAAAACATCCCAAAAGAAGGCAATAATTCTATATTATTGCCTCCACAGTTGATCAGCGCATATTACTACTCACACGTGCCTTATATACTGATACAGTACTGAAGGTTAGATGTAACTCCTCTGCGGAACTGGACAAACACTATTCCAATTTACAAAGGTGTTGGTTAAGGTTGTATGATTCTTATGCTTCTTCCTTTTTTAATTTCTATATAAATGGCCTGTTGAACCATCTGAATAATCTGAATTTTCATCCTCCTAAACTGGCAGTTTAATGCAGATATTATGGTAATTCTTCCTAGAATCCTAACAGGATTTATTAGCGCTATGGGGGTTCTTCAGTATAACAAAGAGAACCAGATAGAAATGCCTTACCCCAAAACCAAAATTACATTTCTTGTCAGGAAATCAAGACTACATTGCTGGCAGATCAATGACAATTTAACTGAACAAATACTGTATTTTAAATACGTGAGAGTTGCCAGGTAAGCGTCTGGCTCAAGGAAGGCTCATGGATCCTATGTGGCACAGCATGTTCCAAGAAGTGCTGTT